AAAACAGGGTGGGGTGTTTGTTTTTTTGCAACCTGTAAATGTTTGATAGTTCATTACAGAAACTTCATTATAAATCTTTCATATCCTGGAAAGCAATGCCATGATTGGCAGTCTAGAATAAATATATCTATTAATTGTCTCTTTAACAAGTAAAGTATTATTCATTAATTTTATTTAGATCCTGTCTTTATTTTTTTTATAAGCAACTCTAGGCAGTGACAGTAGCTAATACTCCTTCCTCCTCCCATTTTCTCCACAATAGCAGCTCTATGAGGTGAGTTGGGCTGAGAGAGAATGATTTATGCAAGGGAAACTCTATCATACCACAGAAACAGGAGGACACGGTCCTAGTATATACTCCAGTCTATGGAAAGTTGTCACTTGGACTGGAGAATATCCTCTTACCGTGTCCGTCTGTTTTTTAAAGATACAGAGACTGATCTCTGAGGAGATATAGTGATTCTAGTTCAGGAGGGATTTTTTTGTTGTTGTTCAATATATGAATAGCTCTTGCCACAGAACATAATGTGAAAAAAAATCCATCACCACAACTCTAAATTTAAACTTACTATTTGGCTTTTAAATAACTACATTGAAAGGGTTTTCATAATAAAGTCTCAACTCAGACTTTGGGCTTTTGGAGAGAGTGAAATATTACAGAAAGTGTTTTTGAAAAGCACAAAGCTACAATTAGATGAACTAATTTAATCTGCATTTCTAATTGAAATTTCCCTTCACTAAATGGTCAGATCCTACCATTTCAGTGGAACAATTGAAGCTTGCAATAAGGGCCTCATTTATACAAAATACAATAGGTTAAAAATGTATTAGAAATATATATGTGTTTGAATAACATTTGTATTAGACCAGTATAGAATTATAATTATTTATCTTTATAATGATATATATTATGTTTTTGTTGTATTTTTCACTTTTTCATCAAAGCACTTAGGTTTTTTTATCTTTTTGTCAACGTATGTATCAATATCACTATTATTTTAATACTTTCCTGTTTTGCTTTTTTTATTAAATAAATAGCAATAAAAAATAAATTATTAAAAAGCTTGCAGCCCTAAATTTTTTTTTCAGCAAACCATATGCATAGAGGATCTGCAGATAAAGGGAAAACATGCATATCTCATGCGCCTATATGAATGCAACATCCACATTGTTTAAGATTAAAATTAGTTGCTGCTCCTTTCTCATGCGGGACATTCCTCCTTGGTATCTACTGCCCTCAGTGTTAGTAACGGAAAATAGGCAACAGCACTTCGTCACTACACATTTTCTGGAAGGTCACCTGGATCGTCAGGTTCTGAAGGGACTTGTGGAGAGGACACTGCTTCTTCCTCAGAGTCAGAATCAGAGTCAGAATTGAGAAACACACAAGAGCTGGAAGGTTTAGTAGCAATACTGACAGAGGTGGAAGAGCGTTGGTAGGTAAAAGACATAGATTCTGAAGTGTGGGACTGAGTGATACGAACTGAACACCCAACAGAAAGAGGGGGAGGAGGAAATGCAGAAAAGGATTAATGAAAAATAGTTTTTTTAAAAAAAACAAAACACACACACACAACTGCTTATTTTGAAATAAAACTATGCAACAGATCTGGATTTGCATAAGAACCATAGCCTACTTTTGACGTATTCAAAGGTAGCTTGATGCGAATGGATTAAAATTCTAGTGACAGAAGGATGAAGAGATGACATTTTCAATTGGAACTTCCCAAAATAGAGAGTCATCAATTGAAACATGTCTCTTTCTCTCCCCAAAAGAGAAGGACAAATCTTACCAGGGAAACCATCATCCGTTTCTACTTCACTAGGGCCACATATGCTGCTGTTGTCTAGGCCAATATGTATTGTTTGGAGCTGGGACCGAAGCTGTTCTATGTCGCTATCTTTGCTGTCCAGAGCCATTTGTAGTTCAATTCGTATCTGGCTCTCTTCTGCTATTTGCTGTAAAAGGAGATTGATGAAGCACAATCAGAATTAATCTTTAATGCATGATAAAATCTTGCTTACAGAGATGGTTCTAACAGCAATCTCTTAACTCAAACCACTAAAAGGAAATTAAATGACATAATGACAATAAATAGATTGTCCTATTTCAGTACTGTTGGGTGAGGTAGTGAAATTAGGAGATTAGAAAGAGATGTTAACACTAAAATTAACACTAAAATTGTCATCAACCCCTGCCTCGTGACGACGGGTGTCCTGTAACTGGAGGGATATTAGATTGTGGAACATTCTCTAATGATTTTCAAGAATACAGGAAAAATTAAGCTAAAGAATCACAATGTCAAATAAATTTGTAAAATACCTGAAACTTCACGAACATCTTTCAACAACTATGCAATAGTTTCTTACTGTCACGTAAGGTACTTACAGCTTGCATTTCATTGATTTCTTTCTGATATTTAATCATCATCTGAGTTAATTTTTCCCGTTCGGTTTTCAACTCCATATGCAGTTTCCTGTTCTCCTTTTCTTTTCTTCGGACATCTGTGTCAGCTCCTCGCTGGATGGGATTTTTTCGATTCATTACTTCTGCCAACTTATTCACAGCCTGGAGGAAGGGAACGTAAGAGAAGAATAAATGGGCAGCTATTTGATGTGATTAAAATTAAGTACATTCCCTTCTCTCCTCCCTTATGTATAACACTGCAGTGATAACTGCAGTTGCTTTCCCATTACTTCATTTATACGTTACCTGTGTTTTCATTGTTCTCTCATAAGCCAGCTGTTTTTCAAACTGAGTCCTTAGCAATCCAAGATCATTTTCTTCTTCATTCAGATGGGCTAGCCCTGTCAATAAATAACAAAATAGGTAGCATTTGTGAAGCTAACATGAAATCAATCACTTTTCCTTTTAAAATAATACTCACTTTCTTGAATTTCCTTCAGCTTGTTATTCAGCTCTTCCTTTTCATTTGCAAGGTTTGCCACATCACTAGTCAAAGTTCTATTTGCTTCTTCCAACTAAGACACAGAAATTATAAGAAGCGTAAGTCACAGAACAGGAAAAAAAGCCAACCAAACATTTAAGTAGGAGTTGAGATTCCAAGTGAGGATGGGGGAGGAGGCAGAAGCTTCCAGCAAAGGGACTCATGGCAAATGTGTGGGAAGCAGACAAAAATAGAAGCTTAAAAACAGGATTGTAAGGGAAACGTACCAAACAGTAGTAGGGTTTAAAAGTAAAACTAAGTAATAATAATAATAATAATAATAATAATAATAATAATAATAATAATAATAATAATAATAATAATAATAATAAAGTTGGAAGGGACCTTGGAGGTCATCGAGTCCAACCCCCTTCTCAGGCAGGAAACCCTAAAAAAAATAAGGCACAGGTGGAATTTGGAAAGCGGAGTCACTTGCATCAGAAACCGCCATCATATCTGTGCTAGAAAAAATGTTTCAACTAGAATCCCTCTAACCTACTTATAAATATATTGTACTCTCAAAACATTATTATACACTCTGATGATCATGTAACACAAGTACTGAAATCTATAAAAGGTCCTACTGTAAATTCTTGGACAAAGGAATTAAATTTATGGTATGGAACATTTCTGATGCCATAATACATCTAGCCAAATTCAGAGCCAAAGCATTTAGTGACTGCAGTGTAACATTATACTTGGCATATTTATGGGACAGTGTCTAAATAAGTTTGGTCCCTGGAGGTTTTAAGTACTGTTGTCAGTTGCAATTTCTCATGCAGTTGTTTTTTTTTTTAAAAAAAAAACAAACAAACACCAAACAGGAATGTTTCATGTTCAAGGGACAAATTTGCACAGATCGACAAGCCTACGATCCAAGTTATATTGTCAAATCCCTTCGCTGTTTCGAGTGAATCACTTACTGATCCTATCGTGGCATCTTTTTCAGCAAGCTCCTGTTTGTGCCTTGCCATCATTTCTTTGATCTCCAGTTCTTTCATGATCTTCTCTTTTTCCAGGTCAGAATACTGTTCCTCAGCAATGGAGCGAGCCAACTGTTCGGAATCTGCTTTTGTTAACGTGATCTCCAGTTGTGCTGCCAAGGAATCCCTGCAATAAATTAGTATAAATTAAAATTGGTATCCTAATAAATTAGCACTATGGCCGATGATGCTATATAGGAGTTCTGTTACTGGCTACTATTATTTAAGCTACCATCTTCTCACCTCTCTTCTTGTAACTCTTGTATCTTTTGTTGTATTTCTTTACACAGCTTGGCCTTTTCTTCACATTCTTCTTTAAGTTCCCGAACTTGTGTTTTATACAACGTCTGAAATGTTTAAGAGAAAAGCAATATACATATTATAGCATTGGAGCAACCAGATAAAATGGAAAAGAATTGTGTTAGAAAAACTGCCCGCTTTAAGATAAGGAATCTCCGTAACATTTTTGTCAGGATTAAAATATATGTAAAACAAGGGGTTTTTTTTCAGTATTACTTACAATGACCAGATAATTATCACTTGTCAATATGATAGCTGTCAAATATTCTACCTGACTAAATTAATACATATATTAATATTTATTATTATAAAAGTAAAGGTAAATGTTTCCCCTATCCAGTCATTTCCAACTCTAAGGAGCGGTGCTTATCTCCATTTCTTAGCCAAGGAAACCAGTGTTGTATGAAGACACTTTCTGTGGTTATATGGCCAGCCGGACTATATGTACATTTATTATAAAATATATTAGGAATATGACAGCCAGTATTATATAATGATTAATGATCCAGACTAGGAATGGGAAGAACTTCATCCTTCAGTGTACTGATTTGGGCTAAGATGATAATAATAGGATTGTTACATTTTTCCTGTGAGCAATCATATTATAACCAATCATACCACTTAACTGACTGATTTTCAAAAGTTAATCAGTGTTGGACCTGTCTAATATCGGGAGAGATTAGACTGATAAAAGGGCAATGTTTTATTATTGCCAAAGAAACAAACTGGATATGAAGTGAATCTTGTGGATATGAACTAAATCTTGTAACTTGAGGGACACCACAGTAAGCCCATGCTGTTAATGGTGCTTTATGCACTCATGTAAAACAGTATGCGATATGCTACTAGGTCAAACTTTTAGAAAAATATAATGCACAGTGACTAATAAATCAATAAAGCCCAGAATATTTATAACCGTATGATAACTCCAGAAAATATATAAGGCTTAACAGTTAAGAACATCATACTGAATACGTTGATATTCTACATACCGAAAAATATTGTTCTGCTTCAAGTTGGTCTTGAATTTCTTTCATCTGCCCATCTGCATCTTGACGCTCTCTGACAGAGAATAAGATAAATGCAATTTTAAAATAATACTACTTCTATGACAAACGTTGCTGGAATGGACTACTAGCTTTCTCCTTTATTTTTATCTGCCAATTGAGTGGATTAAGTCCATGAATAGTATGTCAGCAATTTCTAAATAAAGACTGATATACTTTCAGAAAAAATGTACTAGAAAAAATGGTTAATTTAATCTATATTTGGAAGAGAAAACATACTACTCATGGACTTAATCCACTCAATTGGCAGGACCATGAAGGTTAGATAGAGGTGAAATGGGGACATACTGGGAGGAGATATTACTTCTGTCCTGATAGGAATGACTTTCAGAGTCTTGATTGCCAAGGCTTAGTAGAAAATCCTTTCAATGTTTTGTCAGGTCACACTTCATTAAATGAGGAATTAGAATTCGAAGGAAGACACAGAGACTGTTGGATGCTTGTGGAGGGGAAGAGAATATTAGTCATGCCCTTTCTGATTCCTTGCTATATGATACTGGCCAAGATCGATGGTTGCAGGACTGTTTGACCCAAGTGCACAAATTCTTTCTTTAAGACACAAAGTGAATAAAAAAACCTGCTTTAATCTTGTCGATATTTTTGCACATTCTAGATTTTCTTATTTATTTGGACTAACTGAACGTACCGTTTCCTTTAGCAGAAAGAGTAGACAGGGCCTATTATGCTATTGCTTCATCATTATCCTCAGGAAAAAAAACAACCCCAGAAGTTAGCTCTGGAAAGATTTTCCCTTTCACCCAGAACTGACTAAAGGTAGTCCTTGCTTTACAACCAGAATTGAATCTGGAATTTATGATTGTAAATCATTCTGGTTGTTAAGCAGGTCACCATAAGACTGCCTCTAATTTTATGACCTCTTTGGCAGCAGTTATTGAGTAAATGCCATGGTTGCTAAGCGAATATTGTGGTTGTTAAGGAATGGCTAAAAATTCTTGCAAAAAGCATCATAAATTGCAGGCAAGGGAACTGCAAATAGTATGATGTAGGCAATTTGCCAAGTACCAAAAATGTGACCATGTGACTAGCGGGGAGGAACAGACGGTCGAAACCCAGTCATAAGTAGCCCTGGGGAGATACTGTCATAACTTCAAAGCTTGAATAGGTTGCTAAGTGGCCAATCATAAGTCGAGGACTATTTGTATTTGGCCCCAGACTATTCCTTGTTCTTTTCTTGTACCTCTCTTGCTGTTTTGGCTGTATAGTAGATCTTGAGTCTCCACTTCTCTTTCTACCTAATCCTTATTGGGCTGAAAGACAAGAGGGAAACATAACAAATCCTATCTGTCTACCAAGCACAGTAATTCCTTAGTTTTTCCTGAACGGGATCAAGTGAAGTGATTTTCTGTCTGTTGCAGCGTGAAGAAAAGCGCTCTTTATGAGATGGGGTAAAAACACAAACACACACACACAGTTTTCCTGTTTCGTTATACTTGGATGGATGTTTCCCCAAGCAAGAACGGACAGGGAGACACCCTTTCCACCTGTTCCCACATAGGGAAACAAATGACCTCAGAAATGTCCTTTGCTGTCCCAAAGCTCCACCTCTGACTTTATCTGGCTTACAAGGCTGATGGGGGGGGGGGACAAACCCAGATTCTTTTTTATTCCCTAAGCAGGTGTGCAGCCACAGAACTGCCTATGTTGATGAGGTTTTAAAGGGTACATTTTTCCGTAGCAATTTATGATACAGGTACATGCAAACTAGGCCTCAGAGGGAGAAAAAGCAGTATATCAGAAAAATGCATTATTAACATTGTTGTTGTTTTTTTACTTATGGCTGTGAACAAAAGTAAAAGTCAAGAACTCCCCAGTTTATGTGTAGAATGTCCCTTTGTCCCTGCGAAACACCCTATCATCCGAGGTGAGAATTGCTCTCGCCCTTTTGATCTTCCAGAAGAGTATTAAAACTGGGTTTTACCAATTGGGATTGGGGCCCTGAGGGTGCACTTACCATTGGTGGTGGCTGATGGGGTAAGAAGACATTCCCATGCTGGCCACCTCTTGGTCCTAGTTTTTTTTTAATAGTTTTGTTTTTAATTTGCATAGTTTAAATATTTTAATTGCTTTTATATTTCTGTTTTTATGATCTGTAAGCACCCATTTGCCTGATAGGGGAGATGGACGGCATATAAATTTAAGAAAGAATGATAATAGTATCAACACTGCTGAAGAATTGATTGAAACCCTACGTGTTGGTACACCATAATGTGGCATTGCACAGCTCAGTTTTGAGTCACAATCAATTGTAATGGAATAGAACATTTATTCCTTAAGGGACTTACTTGCGGAGCTCATTATTTTGCTTTTCTAGGCTTAGTTTAATTTCAATAAGATGGTTACTTTCTTGCTTTAGCTGCTTCTCTGACACCTTCAATGCATTCAATTGCTGGGTTTGCATTTTGAAATCATTCTGGATGAGGCAGCGTTTTTGCGTTTCTTGTTCAATTTTCAGAGTCAGGTTTTCCACCTGCAAAACAGATTGATACTTTGTAGACAGATTTTTACGATCACACGCATGGGAAATAACGTATTTCATGCTCACGTAATTTAATTACACGATGTTAATCATGGACAATCTTTCTCCTCGAATCCCAGCTGCTTTGAAATAGAACTTAATGGTCCTATATAAAGAGCAGTTTTAGTCAAGGAATTTTTTTTCCAGTTTACTGATTTTTGTTCCAGCTGCAGAGTAGGATAAATTGTATCTAAACAGAAACTGTAAACAAAAGCTTTATAGCCATAATGAAGGATTTCATTACAAAATTGATGTCCCATTCCTAATTGAAAGCCATTCTCCAGTCAAACTTCAAGAGTCCTATAAATGTGCCCTTTCAGAACTACAGTCTTACGGCCCAATTTTATAGATATTTACACAGAACTAATTGTCAATGTCCAGTGGGATTTATACCCAAGGCTAAGTTTAAGTCATTTTTATTATACATGGTTTGAAGCTAATATAATCAGTTATTGAACACTCTTCCTTGAATTGGAGAATTTTGAAACGAGTAAATGTGTATTCAAAATAACGCATTAATATTCAATCAAGCTCTTTAAGCACTATAGAGAATGAAGATGGCAATTTTTAACGTGTAGCCAAATATTTTGATTAATATTCCTAAAGTACAAATAGCTTTTGTTTTTCATTTAAAAATTTCACATTTCAAATGACTTACAGAACGGAGAAATAAGAACCTAAACTATTCCATACCTTTAGCTTATATCCTAGAATTCATATTCCTGATTTTTAAACTTTCCCTGTGCTGCAACCTCTGAGCCCATGCTCAAGTACTGTGATCATCAAAAAGTGCACCAATGGAGCATAATAGGCTGCTAGCATTTGACAAAGAAACATAGTAAAGGTAGTCCTCGACTTATAACCATTCATTTAGTGACCATTCGAAGTTACAGACTTATGACCATTTTTCACACTTACAACCGTTGCGTCACGTTATCAAAATTCAGGTATTTGGGAACTGACTCATATTTATGATGGCTGCAGTGACCCGGGGTCACATGATTGCCTTTTGCCACCTTCTGACAAGCAAAGTCAATGGGGAAGCCAGATTCACTTAACAACTGCAGGGATTCACTTCGCAACAGTGGCAAAAAAAAAGATTGTAAAATGAGGGGAAATGACTTAACTACTGTCTCACTTAGCAACAGAAATTTTGGGTTCAATTGTGGTTGTAGGTCGAGGACTAACTGTACGTGCTCAAAATTATGTATATGACTCTTTGGATTCATTGATTCTCTCAATTTAGTCCACATTTGGTTTTGATAAAAAAAAAAAGTTAAGCAAATATAAATTATAAAAGTGGAACAAAAACTTAGATCTTAATAGAGAATTATTTTATCGCAAATGTAACAAAAGAAGGGAAAAGCTGTAAGTAGATGTAGCGTAGCAAACATTAAAATTGATTTTTTTTTAAAGTTTATACTTACATCTTCACTTAGTTTATCTTTCTGCTTAAGCAGCTCATTTATTTTCTGCTGGGATTGCTTCAGATCACAGTCCAACATAGAACACCGTTTTTCAACTTCCAGTAAGCAGTTTTCTACTTTTTGCTTTGTAGCTCTTTCTTCTGAAAGTTTCTTTTCCATTTCTGTGAAAGGAAAAAAACAGCTACTTTGTTATACTGAAATTCACATTTGCACATAGTAAACAATTTTAAACAAACAATTCTTTGTTTAAAATATATACATGTTTTTGTAGAACTTGAGACCTAAGTAATATATTCAGGCACATAACCAAGGATGGAATAACTTTGAGAGGAAAATGATAGAACTCAAGAAAGGATCTGCATATTAATAATAGTCCACAAAATCAGATAAAAAGTTCTGTGAACTGTCCATTTTAGTCAAAAAGCTTGAAATGAACAATTATTTTAGTATTTTATTCAGGTCTCCCAAACCTTCCAATGTATAGTAAGCTTTTCTTCTTTTCCTCTAAAGACATTTTGTTCACTGTTTCAAGTATTCTCAATATTGCTTAAAAATATGATTCACTGTTTAACATATAGGATATACACATATATAATAAGCACACTTTCATTAAGCAAGCCCATAACCTTTTTGTGCAAACAACTTAATATATCTATACATTACTTGATCAAGAGATTTCATATATTATCTTTGTTACATAATTTAAGATTTTCATATAAATTTAAAGCAGCATTATACAATTTATGAAATGGTTAGCAGCAGAATTCTCTGTATAACCCATTCAAGAATCAGTTCTACTGCCTGGTTTAGTGTTTACAGAAATGAAGCTCCAGTCAAGTGAGTCATATTTTGCCTAGATCTCTCCAATCCAATCCCCAATGTAGATGCAGACATATGTCTGAAACTAAGTAAACATAGGCTAGAACACTTTTCAGAAGGCTTAGAGAAACTTCTGAAAAAAGTGATGTCAAAGCAAGAACATTCGAAGTTCTTTTGAAGAGTTTCATCTGTCGGAACCATGACAAGTGATCCACGAAAGAAAGAAGAGTGTGAACAAAGGAGCTCTGTTTGAAGGCCTTTATTGTGCTGATCATGTCAAGCTATAAAATGTGCTTAGAATAGGAATCCCAGAGCCTTTCACTATCCTCATGCCAATCCTAGATAGAGGTCAGGAAGCCATAGTATATAGAGAACACAGGAGAAGAGATTGGCTCCAGGATAGAAAACGAGTGAGACAAAACTGTATACTCTACTTTATTTATTCAACCTATATCAGTGGTGGCGAACCTATGGCACGCGTGCCAGAGGCGGCACTGGGCCCCTCCTTACCAGCAGCCCCCCCGGAGGAAAGTCGCCCGGTTGTGGCCCGTGCGGAGAAGCGCAGCCAAGGACATGGCAGCCGGGCAGCAGGTACAAGACTCCGCCCACGAGCCCCGCAGCATCATCTGCTGCGTGGCCGCCATGGTGCTGCAGGGCTGCCTGGGCGATCTGCCGCGGCAGGCCGTGGAGGTGGTAAGTGGCCCTGCGGGGGCAGGGCACAGTGAGTGGGACAGGAGCTGGGGTGGAATAGGCGGGGCAGGGGGCAGAGCAGAGTGGGCAGGGCAGAGGGCGGAGTGGTTTTGGGCACTCGGTGTCTAAAAGGTTCACCATCACTGACCTATACGCTGAATGTATTAAAGGAAGCTGGTTTGCAAATAGCCAAGAGTGGTTTTAAAACCAGAGAAAGAAGCATCAATAACTTGTTCCATGCTGGTGGTGCTATTTTGATGGCTGAAATGCAAAGGATCTGCAAATTCTAGTAATAAAAGTTAAAGAACCTGGTGAAAAAAATGGGACTAAAATTAAATATAAAACAGACCAAGCAGGTAAAAGAACCAGCATTGGAATTGACAGTGAAGATACTTGTCTTTTTGGACTGATGATAACTGTAAAGGCTCCGTCAGTCAAGAAATGTGCCACAGATTAGCACTTGGCAAAGCAGCTTGTCTATACCAGAGCCGAGGTTGCCTAACCCTGGTCTATACCTATAAAGATTATAATAGTGCAAGCAATGGTATTCTTTGAATACTTTGAAGTGTTTCGTTAATCAGACACATGACAGTAACACTTTATGAAAGTGAAAGTTGGACTTTGAAGAAGCAGGATGGGAAAAGTATAGATGTTTTTGAAGTCTGGTGTTGAAAAAGACTCCAGAGAACACCTTGGACAGTCAAGAAAACAAACCAAGGGAGCACTGAACCAATCAACCCAAAGTTCTGACTTAAGGCACAAATGACCAGACTCAAATTATCCTACTTTGGACACATCATGTAAAGACTTAGGAAACTGGAGCAGGCTCTAATGCTGGGAAAGGTGGCAGGAAAGAGAGGAAGGGGATGGACAGCAACCAACAGCAAGATGGATGGAGTCCATTGCAGTGGCATAGGTAGGCTGTTGGAAGACTTAAAGAACTAGATTGGGGCAGATTATCATAGAGAAAAATTATGTGGTCACTAATAATCTGATTTGATGGCACATAATCAATCAAACAAACAAACAAAAGAAAGTTTTAAATTAAGATTAGCTTCTGAGTTACAACAGTGAAATGTGTGGATTTATACACGTAGGTCTTTTTCAATCTTTCTTCTATTCCCAAACTGATAGTATAACCTTAATCAAATAATCATTTCTCTGTGGAGTCATCCTGAAGCTAAACTGTCACATTCATATTTTTGAATAAAAGGCTGAATATAAATATGCTAAATGAAGTTATGAGCATGTGATATTAAATGCATACCTTTCATAGCTTCAGACTTAGCTTCCTCAATTGATTTATATATTTTGTTTTTGTCTGCTAGTCGGGCTTTTGTTGCTTTATGTTCAACCTCTTCTTGCTCCAGGTTTTGCTGCATGACTTTAAGCTTGTAAGTCATATCTATTTCCATGTTGCTCTTCTCCTGTTAGGCATAAATCAAAATATCTCATGATTAATATAAACCCCATGTAAAATGCTTTATTGGAACTGTTGGTTATAGAGAAGAAAAATGTAGGCTTTGACCTAGGTATTCAGTTTGCTACCTTAATTACTACGCAAGCAAGATGATATTAAAACTATGATGAAAAGCCTAACGTGAGATGATAGGCGTCACTGATCAAGGCAGCATGTTAAATTGAATAGAAACCAAAAGAGACAGTGATGTGTGAAAAGAGAATGAGGATACTATTCTGCCCGGTGCTGGTATTTTCTACTTGCATAAACCGGTCAGGTGAAAGCTATGTAAACCCATATGCCCTCATCTCTGTAGCATGGAGAAGACTTATGATTCTTTTTTTAAAAAAAATCTATATAGAAAAGAACACATCTAGTTACATATAAAATTTTGTTTTCCTAATAGTATTCTGGTGTGGACTATGAAGCAACTCTGCTTAATCTAGTTACAATAAATCCCTCCTAGCTTCTCCTTAAAATTTACAATCAAGATAGTTCATTAACATGGATGTGCAAATTGTTTTGCCCTCACAAAAACTGTTAAAAGCATTCTGAACATTTTATTTAAACCTCAATATAAAACTTAGATATTTCAAGTTTCCTAGTTTCTCTAGCAAATAAGGACATGTTGATGTGAGAGTAAAATGTTAACAGGAAAGTTAACCAGATGGCCAAACAGAACATGACTGTTTACAGCTCTATGTATGCCATTCTGCCTCTTAAGGTTTTTTTAATTGTTACAGAAAAATAGAGAGAGTCTGTGGGTAGACTGCAGTTAAGAGTTCATATTGGCATGTTGTGCTAATTTTACTTTGTTGTTGGAAACTGCAAAGATGTGTGCATGCTTTACTATGTTTTACAAGCACACAATGTTATTGCTATTGAGGTTTCATAAATGCTCAGACTATCACAATCTAGGCTTCGTTGATCTGTCTAGTCTTGGGACACAAATGCACTGTGTGCATGGACTTATGCTTCAAGCCTGTTGCTGTTCTTGAACTTTATTTAAAAATATCAAGACAGAAAACTGTTCCTTTGAGATTTTTGGCGGATTCTGCTCTTTCTGCACTCCTTGAGCATTTTATTTTTGCTTTTATTTTGTTCCAACTTTAAAGCAAAGGTGTTATTAACCCAATATTCACTGAAAACCACCACCCAGTTCACTACGTGTGGTTAGGACTCAAAATCTGGGCATTTGTGTAGCATCTGTCAATAACTCTTTACAGAAGCTGCATTTTTTCCAGACTGGTGTAGCTTGATTAAAGGAGTTGCTGACTCCGAATCATGCTTCCCCTTCAAATCTGGAGTGCTGCAGAGTTCTATTTGTAAGGCTATGAATAGGACCTTATTTTATTAGCTCAACTGAACAATATAGTTCTTTTTTTCTTAAGTTTACCTTTTCCAGGTCCGTCAACTTATCCTGTAATTGTCTTTTCTCTGCCTCCATTTTAGCTAGTGTATTCTTCCCATTTTTTACTTCTTCTTCCAAATTAAGCACTCGGCCTGGGAGTAGTTAAAAGATTTCAACAAGGAAAAAAGCATTATCTACATATTAATTAAAGTGTAACACTTTGCACGCTTTGATTACAAAACCAAACCATCGATGACATATTCTGAAGGCAGAAGGAACATGAGAACAGTTAGCTGATTCCTGTGAATGTGGACATGTTGATAAATTATATATTTAATACCTCTAAAATCCCAATTAAAATGGATAGTCACAATACTCTGCCCCTATGATATGAAAATCACTTTCTAAGAGACTGGTTTTCATACCCTGTAGGTCATGGATAATTTCTGACCCATGAGTCCGATCTCTTCTTTCAGATTCTAGAGCTGACTGCAGATTCAGAAATTCCTTCTCCAGTCGGAGCTTAGTATTCTCTAAGGCACAGTTTTTATCCTGCAGATCTCTGTTGTTAGCTTCTAGCTGCTGAATTTGCTTTGTACTTTCTGTTTGGTTCTTTCTCAACCTGGCTGCTGTATCAGATTCTGTCCGCAGCAAGGCATTGGCTTCATCCAGCTATTGAGACACAAAAATACATCACAGCATTACATACAAACTAAAAAAAAGTACGCTTTTATAATGGATAGTATCATCCATTTACTGTAGCAATGCGCAACATATAGCTTTTAATTATGAAGTTATTCAGAAATTAAAAGTCTTAGGTTCCACTGGGAGTCTAACTTAAAACAGAATGGTAACTTGCCTGTCTTTGTAGCTGAGTAATTTTTTCATTTGATATTTGGGAGTTTTGATTCCTCTTTTTCATATCCTCAAGTTGATCCTTTAAACTGTTCACTGAAAGAAAAACAAAAGCACTAATTCCATCACACAGGTTTCATAACAATATGTCACAAGTTATTCCACGCAGCAAAGACAGAATGGGATTCATCAATGCTCTCCTCCTCTGACGCCACAAATAATGTAGTTTTCCTTTATTGTTTTTGGTGAACATACCGTCATTTTCTAGATTGCGTTTTCGATCTGCTTCATGTTCTGCTTTTCGCTGATATTCTGCATTCTTATGCTGAAGAAGAGCCTTTTCCCTTTCCAACTGTCTGAATGAAGATTCTAGATGTTTCCTTGAAGATGTCTGGGAAAATCATGGAGGAAGAGAAACATGATGGGGACATTTTTCTAAAATGACAGTAAGGAATCCTACAAATTTTCTCAATGCAAAAATCAAAATCATTTCTCATTTGACTGCAGCAAATATACAATATAACGCTCAGTAGATGGGATTGTGCCAAATTGCTCCCAAACAGCAGAGCAGTCACAGAATTCCATGTGTTAGAGCAGTGGTGGCGAAACTATGGCACAGGTGCCAGAGACGGACTCGGAGCCCTCTCTGTGGGCATACGTGCCGTTGCCCCAGCCTTGCCTCCCCCTGCGACCCCCTCCTCTCCAGCAGCCCCCATGAAGGAGAGTCGCCCCTGAGCGTGACCCACGCGGAGCAGCACAGCCAAGGACATGGCAGCCAGGCAGCACAGACAAGACTCTGCCCTCACACCCCATCATGCACAGTTGATGCTGCAGGGCGCGGGCAGAGGGCGTGACCGCCATAGCGCTGCTGGGCTGCCTGGGCGATCTGCGGCGGGCCCTGGAGGCGGTGAGTGGCCCTGTGGGCAGGCGGGGTGGGGGATGGGGGTGGAGCGGAGGCGGGACAGGGGGTGGAGCGAGGCAGGGCCAGTTTTTGGGCACTCGGTCTCTAAAAGGTTCGCCATCACTGTGTTAGAGCATTAGGGTTTGAAAGCATAAAGTAAGCAAAATGGATTTCTAGCTACACAAGCAATACAGGGGAGTCCTCACTTAAGAACAATACTCGGAATTTCTATCGCTAAGTGACATGGTCATAAAATGCAACTTCATGCAAAAGCCCTGATTAGCAACAGCAGTTCCGGCACTTTAAGTAAATTCTGCAATCACGTGAATGGGAGTGTTAGATCATTGTAAGTACAAGGACCGGTTATAAGTCCACCTATTCAGTACTGTTGTAAATTTGAATAGTTGCTGAATGAGTGATTTCTCTTAACAATTCTCTCTGTTAATATAATGCCTGATGCCATTCTGAACTATCAGCCTCATTCTTAGAGGATGCAGGGGACGGATTTCTAGAAAGGGCTATCAGGAAAGACCTCAACTTTCTCACACTGGTCTGGTTTGCACAGTATATGAAAATATAATCCATGATATATAAACTACAAAGACCAGACTCAGGAAACATACTGAGCCAAAACCAAGCAATCCACAGCATAACAGAGCATGCTGTATGGACCTTGTGCTGCATTTTAAAAAAACTTCAGATGATGGAGGTTTACTTGTACAAGCTGTCTCTAGCACTAGTAACAAAAATCCCACTCTCCTCGTGCGACCTAGGTTCATTGACACAATGACTGAGGGTGCCCAAGCTATAAAAGATAGGGAGTAATCAATTTAGTGTACTTGATTTGCAGGATTGGCTACATCACTAATACCAAAAGAGCTATTTGGCAGGATAAAAAATACCTCCTTTAAACTGACCTTGCCCAGAGGCGTAGCGTGGGGGGTGCAGGGGGGGCCGGCCGCACCGGGCGCAACATCTGGAGGGGCGCGCTCGCACTCGCAGCTCTCTGCCCCTGCCTGTGCGAATCCGATCCGAGCCGCCGGGTCGCCGCCCACTGTGGAGGGGGGGGGCGCAAATTATTTGCCTTGCCCCGGGTGCTGACAACCCACGCTACGCCACTGACCTTGCCTACTGGAGGCTTTATAGGCAGATTCATGAAACAAGAACGGTAAGAATGCAGAAAAGATCTGCCACTGCCTTATTTTGCTATGTTTTTCGACTTCCTTGTGTAGCCATGGAGAATCCCATCCAAGCACTAGCCAGGGCCAACCCTGCTTAGTTTCTGAGTCCAGATAAGGCCAGCTAGTATAGCCATGGAGCTGAGAGATTGAACTGCCCCTTGGTACATTGCAAAGAGGACCTCTGATTTGTTCTCATTAGTAAGCAAGCGTCCAATAGCTAAATATCACATAAACGATTGGCATTTAGTTGACTTCCTACCAAAAGAAACAACAGATAAGCAACATATATCTTTTGTGCCTTTAAAAAGAATACATATATTTTGTATGCTTTTTCACTGACGCACTGCCACTGCCTCAAATGTAAATAAAACATGCCAAAGTAGATATGTAAATAAAATACATAATCAAGGCTGAAATCAGTCCGCCTAAGTTCCAGAGGAGATTGCCCTTCCCTTCCCAGATACATTTCCTGTGGTATCAGGTGGCTCATTGCCTCACCAGATTGTTATTTATGCTTTTAAACTTTTTTATTTATTTTTTTGTAAAGAAAAGAGTTTAAAGTAATTTGATATACATCACCAATGTTCAGAAGATAGTGCTATGTTTACACACTCTATTAAAGGGCAAATAAAGATAGTGTGACTTAGTCAATGAGTTGTGTGACTTTGGGGTTTTCCAAGTAAAAGTTTTTACCCAAGATGCATCAAAGTGCCACATAAGAGTTAAACTGATTCTCCTCCCCCCCCCCCTCAAAACAGATCCTGCATTAATTCTGAGACTAAGTAGACATACCACGGAAAATTGTCATGGATGTAAATTCAAATGCTGATTATACAAAATAGTTTATTTTGTTTTCATAATCTTCCATAACAGTAATTTAATTTGTATTATTTATAACACTGTTAGGTATCTCTATTTATTAACTTTTCATTAACTTTTTTTGGGGGGAATACACTTGAGGCATCTCAAATTAAAATTCAAAAATTCAAAACAGGGTATTTAATTACACTCAAAATATAAAGCAAACTATTCATTTACCTCCTCATCCAATTCCTTCATTATTTTCTCTAGACGATTATTGATAGCTCTGTAGAACAATTAATGTGAAAGAGGGACAGAATTACAGATGATAAAAAGATTTTCTTTAGTATAAAATCTTCTCCACAGTGAAAATGTAACCATTTATAAGTACAAGGTCAAGGTCCTGAGCAGCACGCTAAATTGCAAGTAATGCTTATATAAATATGATTCTTACACACTTCTGTTTAGCAAGGTTTATTGAGATGGGTAGAATGAAGTCAGATTTCCAACAATTCTTGTAAGAGCTGAAAAGTGAACTACAGTATTTCCAAGTTATAACCAATATATACCCATATTATATGATTCTGATAATTCTAGCTAATTCTAACAGCCTTTCCATAAAACCAATGAGATAAATCTCTTCAACAATAATTGGCCAGTTTGCAGGTGGCTCTTTAAATAATGATCTCTTGAATCTCTATTAGTGCAGGAACCAACTCTTATATATGCAGCTACTAAATTACAGATAGATCTAAACTTTCCAAATTCCCCTCAAATTTCACATTAGATACCCAAATTATAAGACATGAACAGCTTGCAAAAAACTAAAGGAACAAGCAATGTAGTCTACAAAAGAATATTTATTTTGGATGCTTTTCTGTTCTCTATTTACTAATATTTGTTTGCTTAACGACAACGTATGTTAGCTATAGAATAGCAGATGGAAGAATCTGGAAGAAGAGAAAGCATCTGTACTTAATATTTTGCTTTTGTTTGTTAAATTTGGAGATTTTGGTTAGAAGTAGTAGGATCTGCTAATTAAGCCAATCCCTATTAAACCTTATTTAATACAGGAGTATGTTCCATTTTTAGACATATTTTCTTCAGGCCCCAGTACCCTCTTTGATCACCTCAGTATATTTCCCTGTCATTTTGTGTAAGTGCAAAAATAGGCTTTACAGAATTGAACTCCTCCACAAAAAATCATTCGCAATGCTACTGCTCCCCCTCCAACCCTGGAAAACAAAATCCAAGATCCAAAAAAGTGTCATATCCCTATCCACCATAATCTCTCAACATCTCCCCCCATTTTATATGTTGTCTCCCAGCAAGCAGGACATAGCCCAGCTTTGCTCTGTGTGAAACTTTCTATCCTCCAACTCAAAAATCACCACATACCAATACACAGTAGCGCTTAAAACTTGTGAATACTTTTGGATTTTTAGTATTTCTGCATAAATATGACCTAAAGAGTGATATGTTCTTCGCAAAAGTCCTAAAACTAGATAGAGAACTCAATTAAACAAATGAATCTAAAACATTATACTTGTTCATTTATTTATTGAGGAAAATGATGCAAAACAACATCATGTGCAAAAGTATGTGAACCTCTAGGATTAACAGTTCATTTGAAGGAGAAATTAGAGCCAGGTGTTTCAATCAATGGGATGATAATCAGATGTGAGTGTAGGCGATCCTGCCTTACTTAAAGAATTCTAGGTATTCATTATCACAGCCTGATCATTAAAACCCAGGGATGTAAAAGGATTTCATGACTAGAACAAAAGAGATTTCTTAGGGCTTCTGAAAAGCAGTTTTGATAATCACCAGGCCAGAAAAAGTTACAAAATGATTTGTAAAGATTTAGGACTCTACCAGTCCACTGCCAGGCAGACTATGCACAAATAGAGGCAATTAAACACCATTATTACCCACAAAGTAGTGGTCAGCCAACCAATTTTATGTCAAAATCAAGGAATGGAATAGTCCAGGTGGCCTCAAAGAACCCCAGGGTAACATCTAAGGAACTAAAGGCCTCTCTTGCACTGGCCAATGTCAATGTTTATAAGACCATTACTAGGAGAATACTAAATAACAATGGTGTGCTTGGCAGAGTGGCAAAGAGAAAGCCAATACTTTCCAAAAAGAACCTTGCTACCTCTCTGCAGTTTGTGAAAGACCACACGGATAAGCCAGAAAGTTACTGGAAGAATGTGAAGGGAAGAATTTAAAATAGAACACCCCCCCTTTTTTTTTCCTTGAATGAAAATGTTATGTTTAGCAAAAAGGCAAATCCTGCACTCTAGAGCAAAAACGTTGTGCCATCTGTGAAGCCTAGCACTATCTTGGCTTGGGCCTGCTTTGCTGCCTCTAGACCAGGCCGATTTGCTATTGTTGATAGGATGATGAAATTTTGAATTATACTAGCAAATTCTACAGGAAAATATCAGGGTACCTGTCTATGAACTGAAGCTATGAGAAAACAGGTTGTGCAGTAAGACAATGACTTGAAATGCACAATTTGCAAGAGCAAATAGCTAAAGCAGAAGAAAGTTAATGTTTTGGAAAGGCCAAACCAAAACCCTCACTTAATTCTTCAGAAATGTTGAGGAAGGGCCTGAAGTGAGCGGTTCATGTAATGAAGTTCACCAAAATACATGAAGTGAAGCTGTTCTGTAAGAAGGAATGGGCTAAGCTCCCTCCAAGCCAATGCATGTGAATAATCGACAGCTATCAGAATCATTTAGTTGTAGCTATTTCTGTCCAAGGGAGGCACACCAGTTATACTGAAAGCAAAAATTTATGTATTTTTGACAAACACAGAAGTATGTTTCTTTGGTTCGTTTTCCTCAAAGAATAAATGAACAATATAATGTTCTTAATTCAGTTGTTCTCTTCAATTTAGTTTTAGAACTTGTATGGAGAACAGATTGCATTTTAGGTCAGATTTTTAGGTCATACTGCTCTTTCTGACTTCTCAGTGGCTTTCAATTCCATTGATCATGGTATCTGTTGGGACCAGATCTGGAATTAAAGGTGGGCAACAAAGTATTATGTCAGTTCTCCTCTTTCATCCAGGACTGGTTCCAGTTGGTAGATGGGCAAGAAAATCCAGTCCAAAGCCCCAAGTGCGTGGGGTGTAACAGGGCTGAAGATTTTCTCCCCTCCTAACATCCACATGAGGCCACTAGGTAAAGTCATCCAATGGTCTGATGTGAGGTTATCACTAATATACTTATGATACCCAGCTTCATCTCTCTACCCCAGGCTAGTTGAGTGACGTCATGGACACCCTGTCCCAATTTCTAGAGGCTGTGAGGGCCTGGATGTGGTGCTACAAGTTTTGACCCAGATTGGCTCTATTGTTCTATGTTCAAGCAAGGTTGAAGAGCACTCAGAAAATTTAACTGGGGCAGAATGCAGCAGCATGGGCTCCAGTTACTTGGCACATGTAACACCACTACTCCATGAGTGCCATTGGTTGCCAGTCTGCTTCTGGGTGCAATTTAAGGTGCTGGTTATCACCTTTAAACCCTTCACGGTTTATTAGGTGGGCCCCCAACTGTGCACGGGGACCTGCTTCTTAGTTGTGTTAGTGAATTGTTCTTTTTCAACTGCCTCTCTTTTCAATTTTATAATGTTTGTTATTGTTTTTGTTCTATTTTAATTCTGTTTGTCACCCAGGGTCGCTTGTTAAGATGGGCAGCCACATAAATTGGATGAGCAAACAAAAAAAATATTCATGTGAATGTTAAAATAACTTGGATACATATAAGCTAAAAATTATTGATAACTGTAAGAATGTTACTTTTATTCAATTGATATAATAAGAATTGTATTAGTTTAAATATGAGATAGTAAATGCTAAGGGGAAAAGAGAGGAAATATCTAATGTGGTACTTCAAGATTTCTGTTAAAGATATTTGTATGTTATCGAATTATCGGTTAACCCAGCCGCCATGTTGCTTTTTAAATAAATGTAAAATTAGGAAATTAATAAAAACTTTTTTTTAAAAAAAATATATATTTATGCAGAGATGTTAAAAATTCAAAAGGATTCACAAACTTTCAAACACCACTGTATATAAAATGTAACAGATACAACTGCTTTTTGATATTACAGCTTTTAATATAGAAAAGATTCTTCATTTATACTACATGCATTTTTAAGGAGTGCGTTTGGTCTATGTCTATACATTTTAACAAACTAAAATTATATTTTTAAGAGTTTCTAAATTGTTATAAAGAAAATAAAGTTATACCTGTATTTTTGCTCGAGGTCATCTTTGGTTTGTATTTCATTACGGAGCTGATCTTCTAATTTGTTTATTTTTTCCTGAAATTGTATAAGCTGACAGAAAAAAATCCCCTGATTTTTAGGCATTTATAAGTGACAGAATTTATAGAAAGTTAGCACATAAAAATACCCCTATTTATATGGCTTACATCAGAAGTTCCTAAACTGGGATGGCATGAAGAATTTGGGAGTGGTGGTGGTGGTGGTGGTGGGAATATATGAAATTTTTACAAAAGGTATAATTGTAGAAAGCAATGCAGTAACTTTCAAATGAAGGCCTAATCCAGGGACAGATTGATGAGGTGATGGAAATGCTGAAGGTCGGTGGGTGAGTAACATAAACATCAGTGCTGGGCAATATGGTGGAAAGGATGAGTTGGAGATCAATATGTACATTTACTTAGGCAAAATGAAGGACAGATCTAACATTATTCATCTAGAGACAAAATGTCTCCAAAATACAAAAAGGGTTTAAACATCTGGGAATTCCTGATTTATACTGATTGTTTCTTTACTAGTTATTTGCCAACATGAAAGTAAATTGTTTTTATGATTATATACAAAACATGCTGAATTTGCTGAAATACATATTAATGAATATAAATTAACACTTCAATCAAAATCTTACAGATCTGTCATATCATTGTTTTTAAATTTCCACAAGAGATTACGCTGTTACACTGTTAAATTTGTTTTTAACTTTAAAAGCAGCAAAGTTTACAATACATGTGAAGCCTCTTCCAGATCTCCTAAATTAAAACCAACCTAAATTTGCTGAAAAACTGCATACAGAAACAAATCCTATACTATGAAATGTCCATTTACAAAGTTTTTTAAAAAAAATCTTAAACTGAGATATTTCATGGACAGAAAGAGAAAATTGTATGTGAGTTTGTATGTGTAGCAATATATACTGATAAAAAAAATCTTCAGAATAATGTGCTTACCTCTTCATCATCCTGTAAAAAATAAAAATCAGATACATGCTTAAAAACAGGATACTTTTCCATCTTTTTTCCAATAACCTATATTGCTTGATTTAAATTATCCTTAAAAATCTATTTATCTAAAGCTTAAATCGCATAATGACCAAAACACCTTTTTATTAAACTGGATCATTCACAAGGTTCTAGATTTGTGCAATCCGTTAACTATTGATGCACACATTTTCCACACATATGAAACAAATGTTTAGCACATTAAAATACGAGTACTTACCTCATTTTTCCTAAATTCATTTTTCTTTGTCCCATTGTTCTTACAGGGTTCAAGTTTCTTATTGAGCTCAGGAAAGTCACTTAGCAACCTGTTCAAAACAGAGGTTTTCAAAAACTCTAGCCACTGTGCCAATCAACTCATTTTAATCAATTTGCTCTAGTCCTAATCCCACTAGACTGTGCTCAGAATGAAGGCATTTATTTAGCATTAGCTTTTTTAACAGACCCTGGAGCTTTTTGGTTAATGAGGGAGGAGCCTAAGAGCTTTTAACCCCATTTAAAATAGAAAGCTTCAAAAAAAGGTCTATGCAAGTATATATATTCAGATACAAAATGCAGGTCAGCGTAACTGGTTATAAGAGCAATGCCTCTATTCTGTGTGTATTGTATTCTCCTTTCACTGAAAAAGCAGTAATAAATATTTTGGGAATTACAAAAACATAATCTAATGACATACATACATACACACACACACACACACACACACACACACACACACGTAAGATCACTGCTGAAAATCAGATTAATTGGTATGTATATTTTTACATGTATGTTACATACAGGTTCTCTCTAAAGTAAGTAAATCCAATGAAAGGCAGTTGGTTTCCAACAAATGCTTTTGGGACTGGAAAGGTTTCAACATCTCCTTTGTCATCTTCAATATCATCAAAATTGCTGCTATCTATGTCACTGCTCAGCTCAGGTACAACTGGTGCAGCAGCTAAAAAAAAGTAGATACCAGTGTTTGAACAAAATTCAATGTTGTGATATTTAAACAGTATTTTTCTTTTGCCATTAAAGTTTTAATTTTGTGTCATTTTAATTCAATGTGTAATTAACACTATTTTACTTCAGAACAATCAAACAGCAAGGTTGCTTAGTTCAAACTGGGAGAAAATTTCAATTATTTCAGAACCCCTATTAAACAAATTAATCAATGTTATATATTAAGAATGTTTGACTATACAAAGCTGACACAATAGAAGTGTAATTCCAAAAAAGAATAATTGTATCTAAGATAAAATATGTAAGAGATTTAAGTTTCATTTAGGCTCCCATAATCTTTCCCTTTCAAAAAGCTTTCAAGTTGAAAGTTGGCTGCTTTATCCCAAAGGTGCTTTTCCAAAAGGCAACTGGACTTTCTTTACTTTAATCCCAAAGGTGCTTTCCAAAAGGCAACTGGACTTCATTTCAAGAAAGTTACCTTTTGGAAAAGCACCTTTAAATCATCCATGATATGGATGATTGAGAATCTACGTAGACATTTGTTGCTTTAAGAATGAGACACATCACAATAGACTGTGAAAATGAAAAACTTCATAAAGAACCAAATATCTGCATTGTAGATTGTCCCTCTCCCTGAACCACATGGATATTAAGATGGTCTACAATAAATTTTGAAATCTCCTAATTTTTTATTTATGAGTTAGTACATTCCAGGGTCTCCACCTTTATAATCACCCACCCCATCACTAGTCTCTTCTCCAATCCAACTCGTCTTTAAGCACAGAGAACATGGGAGTATTTATGGGTCTTTTCCTACCTCGTAAAGGGAAGGCCTCTGTGAATGTAATGGAAAAGCCTGCCCTTTCAAGTGCATAAGATTGTTAGAAACGAGATTTCCATTAAATGAAATATTTACTGCAAGAAATATGCAAAAACTAACAAAACATTGAAGCTGATTTTAGGAGCATTTTAGCAACTTTCAATCTAGAAACTTTACTTTGGCATTTAGCTGGGAAAAAATGTAAGTAATCATAAACCTTTCACATTTGTAAAAAAGTATAATTTTTTTAAAAAAACTAATGTCTTTACACAGTAAATATTTTACATTTTAAATCCACATTAAACTAGTTTAGACACACAAACATGCACACAAAAGGAAAAGGCATTTAAATTTTTTTTAAAAAGATACTTACTGTCTCGAATGTTATTCCAATCCCACTGGTCATTCTTAAAGAATAGATGAGATTTAATTTCTTCTACTCCATTCCTCCCTAGCCGCACCTCCCTAAACATGGCAATTAAGTCAAATTTTATTATAAGATCTACAATTTTCTATTCTGAAGCAACCTATTCACAGATTTTATTTCAATGCCACAGTTGCCTAAATGCGTAAGATAAGCGATAATTTTTAACTGTTCATTAACATTAACGTTGGAACCTGAATCCTCCCAGTGCATTTGCTACTAGATTTCTCAATACTCTCATATATACAGGATGAAATAACTGGAATTCTCAATGTGCCACGTGTGGAGTAAGACATAATTCCAACTGCACTCAGTAGAAAAGGAATGCTGGAAAAAGGCTCTTTAAAAAAAAAACCCCACCCTACAAGTTTGCCAAACCACAGTGCAAATATTTCAACATAAGTGACAGAAGACCTGGCTTCCTAACACAGAGAGTTATTCAAACTTTACTGAAATAAGTATTTCAAAGATCACATCCTTTAAACTCACCCATACACGTATTCATATTTTCCTTAACAGTGTATAATGGAATCATTATGCAAGCAGCAAACTCATTTCTTTTTAACATAACATTTTTGTGTTCCTAATTTCACCTAAGGAAATACTTTCCTATCAAAATTAGTCACATAACTAATAATAAGTATTACCTTGGTGACAAACATACATACGTACACACACATACACACAAACAAACATATAAACACACACAAACAGGCCTACATCATAGTAGAAAGGAATATAAACTCAGAGTCATTCTCTTTAACACTTCAAAATATTTTGTCGTGTATTTGTTTACTTCTTGCCCTCACATGGGGACAGAAAGTTATACAAAATGAAGGTCTTAAACTGCAGGTTTAAGTACAATAATTGGTTTAAAGTAATATGTGTAATTTCCACCAGTTCATATAGCCCTCAAGGGAATCAAGAAAATCTGGGTCATTAAACTGATTTTGAATATTAATAGTTAAGACAGAAGTTGAAGGAAATCGATTTTGCTTACATTACTAATATTTAAACTTGGTTTGAGTGGCCAGGACAAGTAGGAGACAGCCTCTAGCACCAGGGGTGTCAAATTGCCGACCTGCGGGCCGGATGCGTCATGGTGAAACCACATCCACCCCATTGCCGGCAATGGAAAAAAAGGTCGTGATATGTCACGACATGTCACGTGACGTGAGTTTGACACTCCTAGCACAAACAAGTAAGATGTATGTCTGGTGGAAGATTATGGCCAATGGGGGTTCTTTTTTACCTAAAATCTTTCCAAATTCAGTGACATATTTATAAGCTGGTAAACCTGATTGTTATTCTGTATGACTCCTAGGAAAACCTGATAAGTACTTCCTAGGAGTAAAGGACCTCTCCTATCCATGAGGGCTTGATCTCATGGAATTTCTCATAATTAAGCCAAGTTGAAATTACTGCCTGAAATAATGACAAATTTTAAAAATTAAGTTAGATTTTTTTCTACAAATGGAATCTCAAAGATTGTATTCATAGATTGTATCGGTGAGATCTCCTAAATGCCCGTTTGGACAGAATAGTTTTCAATAACAAATCCACCCTAGTAAGGAAAAAAATATGTTTGCAAACCTGTCTGTTAAAAAAGCACAGATGAGGTCCTTTGCCTGCTTTGAAATTTCTACATCTTCTGGGAAATGCAGTGAGTTCTTGTGATCCATTATTTTACTGTATGTTCCCACCAACGAATCAGCATAAAACGGAGTATCTCCTAAAAAGTCAAAATGTACAGACATTATTGTTGTAGTTGAATCTTAAAGATTAACATAGCGTTTAAGATGGTAAATTGAGCATCCAATGCTTAAAGATTCAAAACAAAAACTTGCTGGGTTTTTTTTTTCAAGATCTGAACTGGGCCTCTATAATCTTCTTCCTCTCCTGCCTCTGCCAAGAATAAGTGACGTTAAAGGTTTTTCTTTCCCTTCTCTTTTAAAAATTAAGTAGAAAAATGTCTGGAACGCTCATAGTTTATACAGCTCCTATTTCAACAAATCCAGAATCAAATTATGGTTTACAATCCTGGTTTGTTCAAAGCTGTAAGTTGAAATTAAATGTTTTGTTGGTCACATATCACAACGGCAGTTCTCCTTTTTTCCTTCCACCCAAAATACCTCAAATTCCCGTAATGTCCTTTGGAAAAGCAGATCTTGTAGAGGCATTGGGGAAAAAAAGAGGAAGAGGAAAAAAAGCATTCCAGTCTATCAACAGAAACTGCTCCTCTTCATGCAGTGTATCATTAGGTTCCAGGCTGTATTCCTGAGTCTGGGCATAAGGAGAAATCCTGCTTAGTTTTAGATCAGAAATTGTTTTTTGAAACTGACTATTTCAATTGTTCAAGAGGAGATGGGGGAAGAAACTGCAAGCTCTAGCTTCATGAAAACTGTACAGCCTTAACCCTAAACAAGATTTATCTTTTGCTGAAACTCACATGACAATTGTTTCTAGTATGCATAAATTGTATTTCCCCGTGCTTCAAAACAATGACTCTCACTGTATACAACATTCCTTATATTGGTTTATGTATTTAATTACAGTACCACTAACTTTTATACAAATGTTTAAAGAAAATATGTTACATCATAGACAGAAAAGAGAATTTGTCAAGGTTGAATTGCTAAGATGCCTGCTAACTTCTATCGCCACTCAACTTGCCACAGAAATAGGGAGGAGGGGGGTAGAAAGCATCGTGAGGAAGTGGGAGTCTAAGAAGCTGAGAATGGAAAACTTGCTATTGTGAATCTTCTATCTCAAAAAGTGCTTAGTGGGAGAGATTGTGCAATGGGTATCTATAAGAATTCTCAAATTAAGCAACAATTGTTTAAAAAAATTTCCGCCATATCAAAGGCATTTTCCACATCCAGAAAAATCACTGCGAACTTCAGTTTTTCTGAATATATACTTGGAATTACAATTAGTAGTCTCATATTATTAGATACTTCTAAAAACAATGACATATAATTAAAGGTAATATCATATATAATGCATGTGCCATTCTAAAATCTGAATGGTATTTGGTATAATCGATGTATAACACCAACGAATAAAATAACCATCTGGGCCAAAGGTTCTTATTTACATCGATTTAATGGTGTCAAATATTTCTCAGTGAGATAAAAGGGGAAACTAAGTCGTGTATAATCTTGAGATATAATACATAAAAATTAATTAATTTGGTTCAGGATTAAATGTATCACAACATTATACAATCAAGAATTTAAATAGATTGTTGATTTACTGAGTCAGAACCACCATATATCTTAAACTGGACATCCTACATAGGAAATGTACTTATACTGCCGCAATGGTTTAAATCCGTAATTCACCAACTTTTTTTATCTCATTGTCAATATCTGTTCAGTGAATATTCTGCTTGGATAAAGTTCCTGTTTATCACACATAGATGCTTTATATATCCTAGTGGAAGTCATCTTTCGTGATGAGCCATGGTTTGTGCAGTACTGCAGGCTACTTCTGCTGATTGCCGGCTGCCAGCAATTCGGCAGTTCGATTCTCACCAGCGCAAGGTTGACTCAGCCTTCCATCTTTCCAAGGTCGGTAAAATGAGGATCCAGATTGTTGGGGGCAGTAGGCTGACTCTGTAAACCACTTAGAGAGGGCTGTAAAGCACTGTGAAGTGGTATATAAGTCTAAGTCGTATTGCTATCTTTCATACAGAGTAACAGAGTTGAAAGGGACTTTTGAGGTTTTCTAGTCCAATCCCCTGCAGGAAACCCTATTCCATTTCTAAACCCTATACATATTAAAAGTTTCTTTACCTTTTCCATCATTTTAATCTTTTGATTTTCCATGAAGCATAAGCTATAATACAATAGGTATTAAAAATATGCCATTCAGGATGTCGAATGTCTACTTATTACAAAAAACTGTTCAAATTTTTGCGGAAAGTCTATTTGTAGAATGCCTTCACATTTTGGTTGTACCTTTTATAAATCATGGGCTCTTTTATAAAGATAATAAAGAAATACTTAAATACCATCAATAAAAAGGGGGCAATACTTCCTATAGTAATTGTTAATTTTATTCGGGCACTGTCTGAGGTTGCTATCAAACCTATATTACATATATTAATACATTCATCTAGAATACTAGAAAACAAACTAGCTTAGAATAATTCTAATGTGAAACTTTAAAAAGGTATAATCTTCTTGCAAAGGATTTAAAAGTTGTGATACATCGTGTCAAATAGTTAGTTCATAGATATTCTAGAAGCATCCTTAAAACAGGAGTATTTTCTGAAATGTGTAAATTTAAAAAAAAATTAAATCATTATTTAGGATTCATCCTTTTGTATTTTGCCTGCCCTTCTCTTTCCTTATTCAACATACAAGTTTGAAATATTTAGAAAAAAATAGATTGTAATGAAATCTATTCCAATTGAAAAAGCTCATTTAATAAAATAACCTAATAAAAAGATGCCCAAAACATATATCTAAATTTCATAAATAAAAACTACATCTGAAAAGTTCCTGGTAGTAGAACCATTATAATGATTATTAAATTATTATTAAAGCACCTCCAGCACTAGTATTTAAAGCAACTTTCTGAAACATTTATTTCTTGCTCCACTATAAATTCTGAACACTTGTTATTGAAAGATACTCCACTCCTAATTTTTGTCCAACCACCCCTTAATAATTTTCTTCCTCTTGAGAAAGAATGTGACTTCCTTCTAATTCAAAGGGGCCCACTTACCATGACAAATGTAGATTATGGAACCACCACTCCCCTTCTATTTTAAGACTAGATTTTTGGACCAAGTGAAATAGTAATCCTGATAAGTAGCTTCAATTTCAAAATTATGCAATGGCTGCAGAGCTCAAAACCTTAGATATACATTTTCCCATCAAATCTGTTATAGGCTGCAAATATAATGTTTAGCTAATATAATACATAGAGAAGAAATAGTGTTCGTTCTCTCTCTCTCTCTCTTTCTCTCTCTGTGTGTGTGTGTGTGTGTGTAATTGCTATATAAACCCTGCAGTCAGATAATCTCGTCTGAAATAGTGTTCGTTTTCTCTCTCTCTCTCTCTCTCTCTCTCTCTCTCTCTCTCTCTCTCTCTCTCTCTCTCTCTCTCTCTGTGTGTGTGTGTGTGTGTGTGTGTAATTGCTATATAAACCCTGCAGTCAGATAATCTCGTCCTGAAGATCTTTGTTTTCAAAACATTTCCCATTTCTATGAAAAGTTGTTTTTTGGAATTTTTAAGCTGAGTAATTATTTCATTTGACTTTGTAACCAGCCTTTTTGGCTCTATTTTTTAATCTAAAACATCAAATGTCTGACTTAAAAAAGCTCTAATTTCTCCTTTCAATTATTTTAACAAGGATTTTATACGCATAAACTAGTCATTATAAAACTTTATATATAATTGGAAAGAGCTTTTAACTGGTCAGAAACCTATTTTTGTTTTCTTTCCTTTTGGATTTGGGTTGTAGTCCCAAAAATAAAACTGCTTTTCCTTAACTAAGAAATAATTAAAGTTGTAAATTCAGCATGTGGTCATGCCAAGTAGAAGCCCCAATTTTCCATGATATTTAGGGAAGGTCATTTTATAACAATCTAAAAAGCACTACTAAAAACCAGATTCATTTAGGGACCAGTATCATTAGCAGCAAGAGATACAGTGCGCACTCACACACTCACAAATAGAGCAAATCTATATTATATATTTGCAGCAATTACATCACCAGAGCATATTAAGTACTATCAAGACAAAAATCTATATAGAAGCAAGGGGGGGGGGGGAAACACTACTTACCAACAAGCATTTCAAACAGAAAAACTCCGACAGACCACCAATCACATTCCCGTCCATAATATCCATCACCGCCTTGTGATTTTAATACTTCAGGTGATATATAATCTGGTGTTCCAACAGCTGTATCACAACGCACCATGCCAGTCTATTCAACCACATAAACAATGACAATTAAACAACACTTAGATATGATAGTTAACACTAAGCACAATGTTGTTGTTGTTTCATTTTAATCATAGTATTTTTTTTTCAAACTACCAATATGTCTTGTGCTTCTTTTTCATGAAGCTTAAGGCCTCAGTATAAAGAAATCTTGTTCAATGAAGTGAAGGAGTTAAACTTAAAGTTAAACAAAGTCAGACAAAGTAAGCAAAAGCTGAGAATGTATGCTATGTCCAGTTAATGGCTCACAGAATCAACTGGTTTGCAGTAAATTTCAAGAGAGTTTTGGAGCTGCTCCTAAAACAACAGAAAACAATATATAGTCACACCTCAATATAACTTGGTGGCTGAAAACATTCCAGTTATGGAACATAGCCCATATAAACTTATAAAGCAAGCATATTTTTCTGATAGCATATCTATTAAATTGTACTACTAGTAATAAACTGTAGTGCAGTAAAAGCTGTGAAGCAGAAGTTCCAGGTCCAATTCTTGTGTCTACTTGCCTGCTCATTATCTGTGATATTTTACACTAAAAAAGTAACCAGTTATTAGTAGTGATCCAACCTGAAAGAAATATATATTTTAAAGACCGATAATTACAAGTAATGTACAACTGTTGCTTTGGACATTATTAAGACACAAGAATTACATAAATCAGATTTGTTCGTTGCTTCCACACTAGAACAATCAAAAACCACATTAATTCATAACTCAGAACTGTGCAAACCAGCCTGTATCTGCAGCTGTCCTTGAAGAATATTTGGAAGCTTCAGGTGGTGCAAAATGTGGCATGGGCAGTTACGGTTGCTGGCCATTTAGCACATGTCATACCTCTGCTTTATGAACTGCATTATTACTATTATGCTTCTGGGTACAATTAAAGGAGCGATTGCTCACTTTTAAAACTCCTCAAGGCCTGGGGCCAGATTACTTATAGGGCCGTCTCTCCTCAGGGTATCTACTCGTCTGGTATATATAACAGCAGGAGAGGCATGCTCTGGGTCCGATCTGTGAAAGAGTGCCATCTAGAAGGTCTTTTCTGCCATGGTTCCCACTCTTTGGAACACAATCACTCTTTGAGATCAGAATTGTTCCAATCCTATTGGCTTATGCAAGACATTAAAACCTTGGCTCTACCATTAAGCCTGGATCTCTAATAGTCTGGGTGCAACCGTTTGTGGTAGTCCTTGATATACAACCACAATGGAGACTAACCATTATGGTCGAATGTCAGAACAGTAGTAAACGAGTCAATCATGTGACCCACCCGATGTTGTGACCTTTTTTGTGGCAGTCGTTAAGCGAACAAAGTTTCGCTATGCGTGCAGTTTTATGTAAATGTGGCCATGTTGCCAATATCTGAAGTTCGGTCATGTAAGTGGAGAGGTGGCCTGACTATTGGTTCTTCAAATATGGGACAAAACTCCCCCTTTTCAGGTTGATCATATCTCAAGGATTACCTGTATTGATGGTGGAACACTATGAGTTTCTTGGTTTATATTTTTTATTATTTCTTTATTGCTTTTATCCTGTTTTAACTGTCGGGTATCTAGAATCACATATAAGAGATGGGCAGCCACATATATTTCATAATAAATAAATAATTGCTCAAAAGCTCCAGTCTATCTCCAGCACACAAGATGAAGTAACTGGAATACATTTGTTCATAGTTTACACTTTTGAATGTTCAATATTTCTGCATCAATCCAATCTAAAACAAGAACTGCTCTGCACAAATGAAACAGAAGCTAAAGATTGAGAAGGCAGGACCTCCCATACTCATATCTGATTATAATCCCGATTGAAACACCTGACTCTAATTTCCCCTTCAAATTAAGTGATAACCCTTGATGTTAGAATAGAATAGAATAGAATAGAATAGAATAGAATAGAATAGAACAGTGGTGGCGAACCTATGGCACGCGTGCCAGAGGCGGCACTCAGAGCCCCTCTTCAACTAGCTGCCCACTAACTCGCTGAGGTCCCACATGGCTGGATGCATCCCAGCACCCATGCGCTCGCTGGCCTCTGTGTGCAGGGGCCGATGGTGTCAGGCAGCAGCCGCCCCGGCCCCTGCCTCACCTTGCCCTGTTACAATGGCACCCCCGCCCTGCCTCACCTTGCCTCACCCAGCAGGACGAGCCTCCTGCCCACCGCCCCACCTGCCAGAGACCCCCTGGATCTCCCCCAACCCTGCCCAGCCCCCACAGGCATCCCTCCCCACGAGCAACATCAAGGTGATCACGCCCACCTTGGCCACACCCACCCAATCTGCCATGACCACCACAGCCATGCCTACCCAGTGGGCCACACCCACCTGGCACCCTGCAATAAATAAGTGTGTTTTGGGTTGCAGTTTGGGCACTCGGTCTCTAAAAGGTTCACCATCACTGGAATAGAATAACAGAGTTGGAAGGGACCTTGGAGGTCTTCTAGTCCAACCTCCTGCTCAGGCAGGAAACCCTATACCATTTCAGACAAATGGCTGTCCATTCTCTTCTTAAAAATCTCCAGTGTTGGAGCATCCACAACTTCTGGAGGCAGGTTGTTCCACTGGTTAATTGTTCTAACTGTCAGGAAATTTCTTCTTAGTATTCAGTTGCTTCTCTCCTTGATTAATTTCCATCCATTGCTTCACAAAGCTTTGCATCACTTTCCTCAATAAATTAATGGTCACATTTTTCCTTATTTGTTTAATTGGGTTCTCTTTATAGGTAGTCTTTGATTTACTTTGTTCAGTGACCTAAGTTACAACAGCACTAAAATAGTGATTAATGACCATTTTTCGCACTTACAACCATTGCAGCATCCCCACAATCATGTGATCAAAAATTCAGATGCTTGGCAACTGGTTCATATTTATGGCAGTTGCACCTTTTGTGACTTTCTAACAAGCAAAGTCAATAGGGAAGCCAGATTCACTTAACAATTGTGTTACTAACAACAACTGCAGTCATTCACTTAACAACTGTGGCAAGAAAGGCTGTAAAATGGGACAAAACTCACTTAAAAACTGTCTTGCTTAGCAATGGAAATCTTGGTCTCCCTTGTGGCCATTACATGGACTACCTGTATCTAGTTTTAGGATTTGTGTGGAGAACAGACCACATTTTAATCTACATTTATGCAGAAATATTGAAAATTCAGAAAGGTTCACAAACTTCTAAGCACTACTGTAAATAAATCATAATTAACGGATTGGAAATTCTGATTGCCTTAACATTACTGGAAGAAGTTATTCAAATAATTTAAGCTCTTTACAATGACTTCATGTAGACAGAAGCCTGGAGGTTAAATGCTACCCTCTCTTTCTTCATATCCAGAAAGGTTAGAGATAAGATTCTTTTGTGTCTGATACTAATTAAAAGCCACTTTAAAATATGGTTAATTTTAGTATACTTAAGTTAACTGTAAACCTTATTTAAGAAGCTATGCCGTGTTTATAATACATAAAATGCATAAATATTTTCTAACCAAAATTCTTAAAACAACAATAATATTTTTCCCCCTGACTGGGGGATACATTTTTATTTAAAAAAGACTTCAAGAGCTCAAAAAGCATGTGTTATAGCTATATAATTTCACTGGAAGTCAGGCACGCCAATTATTGGTTAGTTTTTTCACCTGTAAGGGTTAAAGTGTGACAAATTTCTTATGTGGTTAAGCACACTAATTTCGCAACCACATAACTGGGCAACGAAACTTGCTTCTATATTTCAGCAGCAGAATCTGGAGATGTTCTAAGGAACAGAGAGAGAGAGAGACTCAAATGGAGTCCACAGATTCGTAAATCAGGTCTGGGCATCACAAAATGTTGGCTGCCCTCCCCCGGTCACAGGATGCATTTTAGGTGCTTGCAACCTATTCAAATTTATGACCCATTGCCAAGTGCCTTGCAGTCATGTGATCGCTATTTGCAATCTTCTCCGTTGGCTTCTGGGGAAGCTGGCAGGGAAGGTTGTAAGCGGAGGAATTCCACTTTCTTTCAATAGCATCCTCCTCCTCTTCAGGGGAGAAAATGCAGCTAAAGGCTCTGTGTCTCAGTATTTCAGAAAGCTAAGACTCAAGAGCCTCTGGTATTTTTTCCTCCAGAGAGCAGAAGTACACTAACAAAAGAGATGGAAGGAGAAAATACTAAAGCAGGGCACTGAGAGAATGGAATGGGAATGGGAATGGGGTAGGATAGGGTAGGGTAAGGTAGAGTAGAGTAGAGTAGAGTAGAGTAGAGTAGAGTAGAGTAGAGTAGAGTAGAGTAGAGTAGAGTAGAGTAGAGTAGAGTAGAGTAGAATAGAATAGAATCTGGAAGGGACCTTGAGGTCTTCTAGTCCAGCCCCCTGCTCAAGCAGGAGGACCTATACCATCTTAGACAAGTGACTGTCTAGCCTCTTCTTAAAAATCTCCAGTGATGGAGCACCCACGATTTCTGGGGGTAAGCTGTTCCACTGGTTAATTGTCCTCACTGTCAGGAAGTTTCTCCTTAATTCCAGGTTGCTTCTCTCTTTGGTCAGTTTCCAACCATTGTTTCTTGTCCTGCTCTCTGGTGCTTTGGAGAATAATGTGATCCCCTCTTCTTTGTGGCAGCCCCTCAAATACTGGAACACTGCTATCATGCCTCCCCTATTTCTTCTTTTCTTTAGACTAGCCAAACTCAAGTCCTGCAGCCGTTCTTTGTATGTTCAGAATCTGTGGCATTTTCTCCTCTGGGATCCACCTCTTTCATTAGTTTCGTTCACCTCTCTGGAGATGAAAAGGCTATAAAAGCTCTCAGCCTCAACACTGAAAAACTCACGTGGAGAACCTTTCAGAATGTCAGTTTCCCCAGCATTTTTCTCTCCAGAGCAGAAAATGCTGGCACATATCATCGTTTTCATGATAATTCGGAAGACTCCTCCGAATCACACAAGAGATTTAAGAGAAGGAGCTTCCTGAACCATCGCGGAATTCGGCCTGCAGGCAGGATGGAGCGAGGCAATGAAAAGG